TGACCATCAGGGTAGCACGAGGCTCTCTGAAGATAAGCTTTCTTCCCCAAAGCAACCGGGACAGGCAGAACAAATGCCCCTGCAGCCAGCCCTCCAACACTGTACCGCAAGCAAAGAACAAGTCTATGCTGGGCATATGACTGGCTAGCACTCTAAATCCTTGGGGACACAGATCCCTGCTCTGCCTGAGAGAGACGTTAGTGGCCTTGAGGTCTCCTGCTACTGCCAGGGACCCTCTCGAGACATTGAGGGAAAAGATCTTCTCCCCAACCCTAGTCTCAGATACTGAACACAGCAGACGAATCTTATGGAGCAGCTGGTACTCCTCTGGCCTCAAAAGGCCAAGGCCTGCACGGGGGGGTATGGCAAGTGAAAGTCTTGTTTGGCAGAATTCTGGTGATCCACAGGGTATGGCACATAATAAACTCAATAAATATGTACCAAATAATAAGTGAGTGAACGTCTCCTTAGTGGCAGAATACCTTCTCCCGCCCATGATGCCTTCTACCCTTTCCATCCTTGATTTAAGGGCACATGCTGTTGGCTGTAAACTCACTTGGGTTTTTTGAGACCATATGCCATCGTCAGGATGATAAGAATAAGGAGGCCTCCTCCAATCAGAGAAGTTATAAGGCCAATCTCAAGGACACCTTTGGGAAAAAGAGAACAAAAATCAGTAGCAGGTTTAGCTCCTCACTTTCAAGATAAAAATCAAAGATTAATTTTTTCTTCCAGTAGCTTCAGAAACACATTCCTTATTACTTTTCTTTCGATTCATTCGAATTCATTCAATCAAAAAAAAAAAAAATCTTGGTGTTTGTGGCTCCCCATCCAGTTCTCTTCTCCCTGAATAATACTGACAGACATTGTGTTCACCGTCCATCCTCCAAGTTCATTCATTTAGTGAATATTTACTGAGCACTTATGATTTACCAAACACTATTCTGAGTAATAAAACAAACAGCAATACACAAGAACTACAAGATCCTTTATCTCATGGAGCTTATGTTCTAGTAAAACAATTCAGACAATAAATAAGCTTCTTTCAGATAAAATGGTGTGATAGAAAGTAAATAAGGTAAGGTAGGAGAAAAGTTAGCAACATTAGATAGAGTGGTGAAGGAAGATTTCTTTGAGAAGTGAAAACTGAGCTTATATTAATAATGGGAAGGAACCACTGTGAGAAAATATGGGGAAAGCATTCCAGGCAGAAGAAACAGCAGATGCAGAAGCCTTGACGTGGGAAGAAGGAATATAAATAGACGCAGAAAGTGGTAGGAGATGAGGTTAGCAAGGGACAGATGTTGAAGGATTCTGAAAGCTACAGGAAGGAGTTTGGATTTTATTTTAAATACAACAGAAGCCACTGGTGGGTTGTAAGCAGGGGGTCTAGGGTTTTAAACTCCAGCTGCTATGTGGAGAATAGATTGTAGAGGATCAAAGGTAGAAGCAGAGAGATCTATACTCTGTAGATCAAGGGTAAGAAACTTCTAGGCTCCAAGGAAGGCTCTTCCCTACAGTTTGATCCCTGGAGAAAATTTCATCATATAATGCAATTTGTATCTAGTGTTGTAAAAATACAACATGATTTTAAAGAGCAATATCAAAAAGAACTCCAAAAAGGCAATGTCGGTCCTTAAAAATAGAACATATTTTCTATGTAAAAACATGCTATACTCACATTTTCCAGAATAATAAAGCTATTTCTATTCTTTTGAAAATGTGACGAGCAAGAGGCTTTCGAGACTACTTAAAGCAGACTATTTTTAGCTGTTACTGCAAAATTTAGAAATGTTCCTTTACTTTTAGTATAAAAGGTCATTCATTTCCCCTCCCCCCACTGTAATTTCCCCCCACACCCCACTTCCACCCCTGACCTATGGATGTTGCGGTTTCCCTTAAGAACTGAATCTCTGAAGGCGGGGTGTCTCCTCCCAGACGCTCATGGCGTGCAGCTGGGGCCTGGTGCCCCCCGGGGAATGGCACCCCCAGTGCCCTTGGGTGGGGGGAGCTGGCACATCCAGGGCCTGGCGCACCCGGGGCCAAAGTCGTTCATTTCTTAAAAGTTTTAATATATCCTTAAAATCAAATCTCTTTCACACAAGGACTTGAAAAAACTAACATATATCTCTGTTTCTCCCTTTCTCCTTCTTCTTCATCTACCTCCTCTTTCCATCTTCTTTCCCTCTTGAATATTCCCCATAATCATCATATGAAACTACATTTTTTTACATTTTTGTTATATTTATTAAATCTTTCTTGCTCCTTATTTTGTAACGTAAAAGCTGATAAATAGAAAATGTTATGTGCTTTTTTGCTCAAAAACTCCACAAATGATGATGATGCTTATTCAACCAATGTTTCCCTCCAAGGCTCCATGGTGCAGTAACCTCTGACACGCAGAAGCTGGCGACTATGAACTTGGGGACAGCCTCAGGGCAGGAGCTGGTTTGGATCTGAGACTGAAGTTGACATTAACTCTATCCCTCCACCTCAGGCCAATATAGGGCCACCCATGAGGAAGGAGCAAAGAGATCAGGCTTTCCAAATGCAGCTTTGCTTTCTCTACCTACTCTCTCCTCGCCCATACACCTTCCAGGAAAGTCAGTGAGCCAGAGAGCAGGAGGCCCTTCTGACTTTGGCTTCCCGCTGCCTTCAGCAAACAGCAAACAGCATTTCTGACTGGTCTAAGGGAGATGGCAAGGAGACGTGTACGGAGGGCTTGAAGGAAATACTCACTAATTGACAATGTCTTGAAGTTTATTCGGGTGCTGTTGGTTCCCCCAGCACTGGTACTGGCCATGACCTGAACAGTGTAAGAGGTCTTTCGTGTCAGGGACTCCAGGTCATACTGCAGGATGCTGGAGTTGACTGTCTTGGCTAAAGGAAAAATGAAGAAGTCAAACACCACAGCCAAGCCCAACTGAAATTGTGCTTTAATAGCACTGAAATAAGAGCACTGGAACCAGTACGTCCAAGCTCGGCCATCTCATACCACAATCCCTCTATGCTTAAAATTAGCCTATAAAGATGGATCAAAGACCTAAATATAAAAGCTAAAACTATAAAACTCTTAGAAGACAACACAGGGCAAACCTACATGGCTTTGAATTCGGCAATAGTTTCTTAGACACGACACAAAACATAGAAGCAACAACAAAATCGATTAAACTGGACTTAATCAAAATTTAAAGCTTTTATATATCAAAAGACTATCAGGAGAGTAAAAAAGACAATCTACAGAATGAGGAAAAATATTTGCAAATCATGTATTTGATAAAGAACTTACATCCAGAATATGTAAAAAAACTCTTAGAACACAACTAAAAGACAAATAACACAATTTAAAAAGGGACAGAGACTGAAAAGGTTTTTTCCAAAGAAGATATACAAATGGTCAATAAACACATGCAAAGATGTCCAGCATCATTAGTTATTAAGGAAATGAAAATCAACATCACACTGAAACAGCACTGAGCACCCACTGGAATAGCCATAATTTTTTTTTTTTAACAGAAAATAACAAGTGTTGGTAAAGGATGTGGAGGAATTCAAACTTTCATACACTGCTGGTAGAAATGTAAAATGGTGTAGCCATTGTGGAAAACAGTTGGGTGGTTCCACAATAATTTAAACTAGAATTACCATATGACCCAGCAATTCCTCTTGTAGGTATATACCCCAAAGAATTAAAGCAGGGACTCAAACAGATATTTGTACACCAATATTCACATCAGCATTAATCACAGTAGCCAAAAGAGAAAAAAAAAAAAAAACCAACAAATATCCATCAACAGATAAATGGATAAAGTATGTACTGTCCATACAATCGAATGTATTATTCGATCATGAGAAGAAATGAGGTACTAATACATGCTCCAACACAGATAAACTTCGGAAACACTATGCTAAATGAATGAAGCAAACACAAAAGGCTACGTATTATATGATTCCAGTTATATAAAATATCCAGAACAGGTACATCCACAGAGACAGAAAGCAGTTTTGTGGTTTCCAGGGACGGTGGGAAGAGAACGACGGGAAGTGACTGACTGATGGGTGCAGCGTTTCTTTTTAGAGTGGAAATAGGTAGTGGTGATGGTTATACAACATCATGGATGTACTTAATGCTACTAAATCATATGCTTTCAAATGTTTAAAGTAGTAAATTTTATATTATATGTATTTTTCAATAACAACATAAAAATTAGCCTAAACAAGAATCCACGCCTAGCCCAGAAATTAGGATGTCAGGAGATACTGTATGACTTTGCAGTGGGCAGTAGGAGTCATGGTAAAGGGTCCCATACCGAGGTATGTGCCACCGGACAGGGTCTGTCCCCACTGCACTCTCTAATTCAGGCATAACAGTCAGGAAGCTCCCAAGAGGCGAACCTGTTTACAGCCTGACCAGGGAAAATGATATCCACTCCTCCTGTTCATACAGGACTCTCAGGTACTGTCACTCACTCTCATTTGGCTCCAGAAAAGTCAAGAGGTAGGTGCTCTTGGCCCCATTTTCAGAGAGGCTCAACGAAGCTAAGTGATTCATGCAAGGCTGCGGGGTACCAACGACAGGAGCCTCCCCGATGGTAGGTCTAGCCACGGCATCTATTTGAGGTTCTGGAGTTTTTTCAACTAAGCTATAAAGCACACTTACAGAATTTTTTTCCATCCTCGGCTTCGTAAAATATTGTGTAGTTGCTAATGAAACCATTTCTCTGACTTTTGGGAATCTCTTTCCATGCGATTGTGACTGTCTTCACACCAATGTTCTCCGCTTTGGTCACAGGACCTGATGACGGAACTTTACGAGAAAGGGAGATAAATAATAAACACTGCATCACCCCCCAGCAGATCCTGCTCCCCACAGGACTTTGTCCATTACTCAGACTGAAATTAGTGTTGGAGGTCAGAGGTGGGGCAGAGTAGGAAATTGATAAATCAACTCGTTTGGGGAAAAAATGTTCTCTGGGGTCATTAACCAGGAAGAGAAGCAGTGTCCAATATTGGAGAAAAAGGACTTTCTTCTAGACTTTTCACTCTAATTTGGCACCCAGCTCTTCCACTCACATCTGTAATAGTGATTATCAAATAGCTGAAGAGTATGCTTCCATAGGTTTTCTTTGAGTGACAAGATACATTTTTTTTGTTGAATCTGGAAGATGTTAACTTCCAAATACAAAAAATAAAGTCTGAGAAGTTCACCAGTAAAATCCTTGCTATTCCTACACAATTAAAAATAATTTTTTAGTATCTCTAACTTAAATCTGTAGGTCCCTAACTTGGTCTTAACTAAATGTTATTTCTGCTTATAGCGCCGTCTGTACTCAGTTTCTTTGTGAATTTGGGCAAGTTATTTTACCTCTCTGATTTCAATTTTCCATTTGTGAAATGAGGGGCTTGGACTTGATCTCTAATGTCTGCCCTAGCTTTGAAATTCATTGAATCGAGAACTTGACCACAATGTGTCAAACATACATAGCTCACTAGAAGCTGAAGGTACAGCATGGATGAGCACTAAGGCTACAGGCATTCATGGCCTTATCTGAATGGTGGACAGGCCCTAATGTTTCCTCCCCACTACAGGACCTTGTCCATACATACCGCCTTCTTTGACATAAGCCTGGATGGAATATGGCTTGCCCACTTGGTCTTGCCATATTGGATACACAGAGATGTTATAGCACCAGAAAGGTTGTAATTTATCTGTAAAAGAGAGTGGGGAGGAGGGAGGGGAGGACAAGCATTAAGTATGGCATGTAGAAGGAACGCTAAACTTAGAGTTATGGCCTTAGACTTATAGAAGGTATTCTATTTCTCTATATTTTCACACCTGGAAAATAAGGAACTTAGGTTGGTTGGTCTCTAATGTCCATTTCAGTTCTAACATTTTAAAATAATTCTTAGAACTAAATATGCATCACTCTGACAAAATGATAGAGCCACTGGGGAAGGAAGAAGTAAGAGATCCAATCCTTTATCACTGATTTTGATATATAACTTAGGGATGCGCAATAAACTTAATCCTTCTGTCAACAGCATATCACCCTAAATAACTCAGATACCATGAATTCTAGCTCTTCTATCTGCCTGCATCTCTGCATAAGTATAATTCTTCATATGAATGCTGTTAAGTATTAAAAAAAAGGTTGGACTGACGGGAATGGGAGGATAAAGCCTCACTTATGTGCCTTACAAGGATCAGAGACTTCCTTGAAAGAAGGCTATTCCCTTTACCAATCACCTGGGGAATGGGCCTAGCTCTGAAACAGACAACCAGAACTGAAGCGGGTAAGAAAGGTGAGATACAAAATGCTGGTGTTATCCACATGATCAAGATATCTGAGAAGGATTGTCTGGTGGCGGGTTAAGATGGTGTTTTCCATCTGGAAACAAGCTACCTGGAAACATGCCAGATGCCTGGTCTGATACCCATGGCTTCTTGTCCCAGCATTGCTGGGAAATGCCAAAAAAATGTTTCACTTCACCAAGCTTGCAGTAGCTTGTCAAATGCTATTAATCACATTTTCAGCTTTGATGCCAAAGTTCGCAAGATTTAAAAACTGATGAAAAAAAAAAAAAAATGGAATCCTACCTAGAAGGAACTTGTGGGATCCACATTGCCTACCTTGCTGGATTGTCCAGTTCCTGGCCTGAGACACAGATTCCCAGTAAAAGGTGGATGGCTCTGAGTCCAAATCTGGGAACCACTCAACCATCCATGCGTCCACCTCCGGAGTGGAGCTTCGCCACTCCACCGCCAGCTGGTCCTGAGTGAGGCGGGCCTGCATGGCCTCGATGCACTGAAATGCTGAAAGGAGAGAAGACTGTTTCACAGTTACCCAACTCATCCTCCAAATGCGCCAACCACACTGGCATCTATTCACTGCCCAAATCCTAAAGAAGGTCAAAATGCAGGGTCTTCCCTGCAGCCTCTCTTCATGGTGCTATTTTCATCTGTTTTATTGTTTCTCTTTTCTTTACCCTCCCCCTTTGATGATGAAAAGCCTTCGTAATCTTTCCTTATCGCCTCAAAATTTACCTGTTTCTAGAAAAGGATCGCGCTAGAGTTGATGATTGAAAAGACTAACCTTCCATGGGTGTCTCTGCAAGTCTAAAGGAAAGCAAGCCTGAGAACAAGAATGAATCTTTAAAGGCTGAATTTCAGGCACCAGTAATTCTGTGGCTGGGAAGCTGGTAGAAGGTGACCCGAAAATCATACCAGGGAGATGACTTCAAATTTCAACCATCTAGGCTCACCCTGCACAACCTGGCTATGGATCCCTATCCTCAAGGCAGTAAAAGCCGTGTCTGTATCAGAAAGACGCACACCCATCCAAAGCACCTAGGTATGGACCAATATGTAACGACAACATTTTGTGCCTGCCTAGCAGAAAAACTCATGTCTAGAAACAGGTCACAAGGACTCTTTTAATATAAAAGTTGAACATGTGGCTTCAAATCCAGTATCTGGGAGTTATCCAGAATCAGAGATCTATCTTATTGAAAATGTTCTGAATATGCAGAAAGGAGAACCATCTGGAGGTGCGGTTAGGCGGAGAAGGAGGGCGCAAAGCAGTGGCGCTCAGAAGATCAGAGAGCGGCTCTGCCCTCATCTACTCCTCAACACCCACGGCACACCTGAGCCTTCAAAATCCACAAAAACTATGTTTAAATGAATTTCAAAGATAGCCCTGGATGAGGCAGAAGAGGAGATGGTGTCCCTTAAAAAAAAAACCCCAAAGCCTTCTGAAGCTGGATGCCTAGGCCGAGTGCTGGGATTTTGTGTGGGGACCGAGGGTATTGAATCCTGCCATGTCCAGGCAACAAGCCCCCGCAGGCTATGTGTATACACAGAAGCCTCTGTTCTGGATGGCCACAGTTTATGGATCCTTTTCCCAAAGTGGGCCTTTACGAGACACTCCAGCTGCTAGTCCTAGAAGCAAGGCCAGGTGATTTGTCAACCTAACAGGGTAGCTCTGAAGAAGAGGAACTGAGGCATGAAGGAAATTTGAAGTTAGACTAGGGGCGGGGGCCAGGGCCAGGAAATCAATCCACCTAATCCCTATGGCTCCTAGGTCCTCCTCCTAGCGTGCCCCTGCTAACAGCCTCTAAGCATCCTCAGTTTCCATTCCAGTCAGGCTGAAAGTTGGGACTGGAGCACTGGGAACTCTACCTAGCCTCTCACAGCAGATAATGTTAGTGCTCCCTGATCTGCTCAGATTCCTTCTTACTGTTTTTGTGTTTTGCTTGGTTGGGATAATTTTGAGATGTAACTTATACTCCAGAGTCCCCATGCAAGGTCAGACTGGAACCATTCTCCTCAGGACTTTTATCACAGATCTCACTTTTCGTGGGTTGAATTGTTTCCCCCCAAAAGACATCCTCAATACCACAGAATGTGACTTTATTTGGAAATCAGGTTGTTGCAGATATACATACTTAAGATGGTGGCCTTTAACTCAATATGACTGGTATCCTTATAAGAAAAGTGGAATTTGGACACAGAGACAGAGACACGCAGGAAGCTATCTATGAGAAGACTGAGGCAAGAGATTGGAGTCATGGAACAGCTGGCGCTTCCAGAACAGAGGAAGTAAGGAAGGATCCTCCCCTAAAGGCTTTTGAGGGATCATGGCCCTGCCAACACCTTGATTTCGGACTTCTAACCTCTGGAATGACGAGACAATACCTTTCAGGATTTGGAGCCACCCAGTCTGTGGTACTGTGTTGGGCAGCCCTGGGAGAATCAAACAGCACCCTTGGCTTGGCCTCTTCCCCTTCCCTGGCCTTGCTTCTTCCGTTTCCTTTTCTGGTCTCCCTGGAGGCACTTTCTTAATAACTTACTTGCACACAAATCCTGTCCTGAAGACGGGAGTCCGTGTGGGTTCCTAAGCCCACACTCCTTCCCTTTACCAACATTGGTGCTCTGTGGAGCAGGATTCAAGTCAAAAGGGCCAAACGTACTCAGGGACTGAGGAAACAAGCCTGGGCTCTGGACCAGGGGACTGCAGAAACAGTTCAATTAAACCACGAGTCAACCTTGAAAGATGAAAGGGCCTGGACAGCATTAAAGTGTGCTGAAAGAGAAGTTTCCAAATCATCATTCCACTGAGTATAAACTAATTGCTAGATCCCTCCATCATTGGACAAGAACTTTTTGCGCAGTTTCTCCAAATACAACGTACCCCCAGGGGTGGCAGGAAATACAGAGCTTCCAGGGAAAAGGGGCTTTGACTATGAACAAATCTAATTCCTTGCATGAAGGCAGTCACTTTGGGCTTATCAAGTAGAGCTCTGAGATAGTGCCTCACCTTTGCCAGCTGTCCTAGGCCAACCTCAACTCTACCCCAGCTCAGGCCCAACCTCTTCCTCAGCCCCTCACCACACAACTGACTTTGCTATTCTAGGCCCTGCTTCAGATTCCTGCTTTTTAGGGCTCCTAGAACTCAGAGGATATTCAGGCAAGAAAATATCTGAAGGTATGTCTATTTCATACCCTAATTTTAAAGGTAGAAAAATGGAGGCCAACAGAGGTAAATAACAGTTCAGCATCACACAGTATCTGTGACCAGAATTCTAAGTCACTTTATTAATACCAAGTCCAAGATTCTGGAAAAATTATATTGTACACATTTGGAGTCAGTGAGGCCTGAGCTTGAATTCCACCTGAGAGACTTCAGGCAAATTACTAAGCTTTCCTGAATCTCAGCTTCATCATCTAAAAATTAGAGCTAAGAGCATCTCCTTCATAGGTCATTTCAAGGCCAACATCAGATCAACCTATGTCATCTCAGCATAATGTGTAACATATATAATATTGAAAAATATGATTATTATACTTACTTAATGATTGTTATACTTACAACTATTATTATAATTATTCTCCAGTTGACTCTATTTTATTAAAAAAATTCTACAAAACATTGCTTTCTTCTATTTCTAGAATAGAGATCTGTAAACTTTCTCTGTAAAGAGCCAGATAGTAAATATTTTAGGTTTTGCAGGCCAGATGGTCTCTGTCACTACTGCTCAACTCTGCCATCATTGCATAGAAGGAGACATTGACAGTATATAAACAAATGGGTGTGACTGTGTTACAATAAAAATTTATTTATAAAAACAGATGTCAGGCCAGGTTTGGCCCATGAGCTGTAGTTTGCCTACACCTGGTCTAGGTCCATCATAACTGATGATCGTACTGACGCTTCTGACACAAAGCAGGATTGGGAAAAACAAACAAAAAACCCTATCTGAATTTAGCATAATTTTAGTTATAGTATTTTTAAAGTTGATAATCCATGTCTAATAGAAATTTAATCAGACATTTTATTAAGAATGACAATAATAATTAGTGCTAGACAAAGAATTTTACATACACAATCTTATTTCCTTTCCACAATAACTCTATCGGGTAGGTATTATTATATAACAGCCCCATTTTACAAGTAGCTAAATTTTAGAGAGGTTAGATAACCTGCCCAAGGTTTACGTATCTGGTGAAAGAGCAAAGACTTGAATCCAGGGCTCTTAGACTCCAAAGCCCATGTTTTAATCCCCTGTTCTTTACTGCATCCCACTCTGGGGCTACACCAGGAAATTAAGATTATTAAACAGCAGTACCTCAATTAAGAAAGAATTAAGAAAGAATGACGCATGCATTTGTCAGAAACTTCATCATTAGGAGCGCTGGATAGGCAGGAACTAGGATGGCAGGAGCTAAGGACTGTGGGGAATAATATTAAATATTAACTAAAATAATACCAAGTGTAGCTCAAAATATATAATATGTATATCTAAGAGTTCTAAAATGAGGCAAGAGAAGAAAAGGTTTAAGTTTAAGAAAAAGAAAAAGAAACAAGTGTAAGCAGACAAGTCTAGAGCTGGTAGTGTAAATACCTGAACCACTGCAGGTCTCAGCGAATAGAGAAAGATGGCAAATATGAAAGTGCATTGGTGTATTTCAACAAATAGTTACTGAGCGCCTTTTCTACGCCAACTGCTCTATGCCTGTTCTAGGTGTTGATAATAAATGAGGAGGAAGAAGGGTAGGAAGAGGAGAAAAAGGAGGAAAAGAGAAAAACAAACAAAAACCTCTGCCCTCATGGAACTCGTGTCTTATTGAGGGAGAGATAATAGAATGAGAAAATCGACAGAATGAGGGGTGGTAAGATTTATAGAGAAAAACAAAGCAAGGAAGAGGACATCTATTGCCTGCAGTTCCTTGAATAAGAATCAAAGGTGTATTTTATTCCAGAACAGAATATAAAATATGAGTTTGCCTGGGAGTTGTAGAATGTTAAAATCTACTGAATCAAAAGTATAATGAGCAATTTATTGGCAAGTAGAAACATCAGAACCTTTCCTAACTTGGTAGTCAAATGGAAGGGGAAGCAAAGAAAAAGGAAGAGCGAGCAAACCAAGGCTGAGACGTGGTCAGTGCAGTGAGGGGAAGATTTCAAAAGAGAGGTTTCAGTCACTGAGGACAAATGTGGCAGATCTGACAGTTTGACAGGGCGCAACCTAGCTTACATTCACTCAGACGAAAACGAATACAAGCCACACACAGAACTTCCAGGCGTATGACTTTGTATCATATGATTTATGAAGTTCGATTTTCAACACAGGCTTTGTTCCAAAGGAACTTTATTTCAAGGGGCTCGCTGATTACCGGAAGATTTTGCTCTTCCCACCAGAACCTAAAAAATCTCTACTTCCCTTGAGAAAAGAGGAATTACTCCTTGGCTGGCTGGCTGGGGTCAGGCATCTAAGTAAGAAGTTTACACTGTACTCACGCTTTTCATCAATAGCCGGAATCCTCAGGGCGGTCACTGGAGACTCTCCAAGAGAATTATAAGAAATCACAGACACCCAATAGGTCTTATCTCCCAGGTACAGTTCAAGTTGCTGGTTAGTGGTGTTCGTTGTCTCTGTGAGGTTAGTGTTGTTTTCTGGAAAGTACCATATGTTGTAGCCAAGTGTTTTTTCCAGGACTGGGGCTCCTTTTGCCTTCTGAACACAAAAGAAACAAAATTTATTGCCAGAAACAAAAAAAAAAAAAAAAAAGGAAAGGCACTGAGACTGTGCTAAGTGGTGGGGATGGGAGTTGGAGTAATATAGACCACTAGGCACTAAACTACAAGCAGGCGACTGCCCTCCTGGGATGAGTAACACACCTCGTGCTGTGGCATCACACCTTCACGCGCTAGAAGACGGGATCTGCTAATCTTTGGTATCAACCCTTAACATAAGTCTAATTCCGTGAGGCTAAACTAAGAGAATGCCTGAGCCAGTGTAAGCAAGCCACCCCCGTTTCCTTTTAGCTGTATCTTTCTCTTTATCCCACATGGGCAGAATATAAGCTAAAAAGTTGAGGCATTCTCTCCAAGCCAATCTCAAGTCTGTTCTGGCTCTGAGTCATCTCTTCCCTGGAAGGCCCCAAGAGTTGGAGAGTACCTGCGCCCTTGCCTTTTATCACCACATGCTCCTTCTGAGAAGAGAGCTCGCATCCCTGGACAAGGCACTCCAAGCATCCCAGTTAAGAGGACTAAAACATTCAGGGCTGCCCTATCAGTCCTAAATTCTTGCTCAGAAACCTAAGGTCACCCCAGGGGCTTCAAGCCAAACTCTTCTTTTCAGCTTTGAACCTGAGACCACTAACCAGATGTTTTACCTAGGGATCAGCATGTTGAGTAGTTCTCAGGAATTAGAAGACTTTCCAGTTGTTCATTTTCTGTTACTGATAACACCCACAGATGGAGCAGCATGATTGAATGTAAGGCCAGACTGGACTTTAGAAGTTATACTGCCCTCCCAATTTTAGAATTTCCTTTACAGTTCCCATGACATAAAAGGTCAGTCAGAAGAACCTTTTCTTTTTCAAGACATTCATTGTCTTTTTTAAATAACAGCTTTATAAAGATACACTTCACATACCAAAAATTCAGTTTTAAAGTGTACAATTCAGTGGCTTTTAGTATATTCACAGAGCTGTACAATCATCACCACTAACATTAGTTCATTCTTTTTTACTCAACTCTAATTCTTAGAAAAGTCTTCTTTTGAGGCAAAAAGAAGACCAGTCTCCAGGCTAGGAGGAAAAGGAGGAGGAGGACACTGAAGTCCATCTCATCTATTTCACAGGTGGTCTACCGGGCCCACTGCTATGTGGCTGACTGCACAGGGTATGTGCCATTGTTTGCTTTCTTTCCCTTAAAATATGTTGACACCACTAACAGTGCTTTCCCTTGTCTGCTCCCTCTGCAACCAGAGAGTCTCCCATAGCCCTGGGGAGGGAGGTGAAAGGAGAGGAAAAAGGTATAAGGATGGTCCAACCCTGAAGTAACTGGGATTGAAATGTCACTTGGCAAAGCAGGGTGAATTCTCCATTTACAAAAGGACTTTAAACTTGCCTGGACTTTAGCAAGCATGACGTAACACAATAAGTATTTTCTAAGAATTTTAGAAACATACTGAAGAGTTTTGGCATCTTACTGCTCTCCTCCCCATTCCTCCCCTCAGCTCCATCTTTTTTTCTCATTAAATTTTATTAGTTTCAAGTACACAGTAAATTGGTTGGACAGTTACATAGTTTATATAATGATCCCCCGAATTGCTCTTTCTTTCCTCTGGCTCTCCACCTAGCCATTACATTAATGCTGACTGTATTCCCTATGCCATGCTTCCCATCTCCGTGACCACCTATCAACTACTAGCTTGTACTTCTTTAACCCTTCATCCCCTTCTCTTAGCCCCCTAACTCCCCTCCCATCTGGCCATCACCAGATTGTCCTCAATATTTGTGAGTCTGTTTTTGATTAGTTCTTTTTGTTCCTTAGATTCCACACATAAGTGAAATCATATGGTATTTATCTTTCTCTGTTTGACTTATTTCACTCAGTATAACAACTTTCTAGCTCCATCCATGTCGTTGCAAATGATAGGATTTCATTTTTTGTAATGGCTAAGTAGTATTTTGTTGTATATATGAACCATAACTTCTTTATCCGATTGTCCCTTGATGGGCACTTAGGTTGCTTCCATATTTTGGCTATTGTAAATTGTGCTGCCATGAACATAGGGATGCATAGACCTTTATGAATTATCATTTTAGTTTTCTTTGGATAAATACCCAGAAGTGCAATTGCTGGGTCAAAAGGTATATACATTTTTAATTTTTTGAGAACCCTCCAGACTGTTTTCCGTACCAATTCGCAGTCCCACCAACAGTATATGAGAGTTCTCTTTCCTCCACATCTTCGTCAACACTTGCTGTTCTTTGATTTATTGATGACAGCCATTCTGATAAGTGTGAGGTGATATCTCGTTGTGGTTTTAATTTGTGTTTCTCTGATGATTAGTGACCTTTTCCTATGAACATCTTTTCATATGTCTATTGGACATTTTTATTTCCTCTTTGGAGAAATATCTGTTCAGGTCTTCTGCCTATTTTTATCAGCTCCCCCATCTTTTCTCTCCTGTTTCCTGGCTGTTTTTCCTCTATTTGCGCTTTTCCTTTCCTATTTTTTCCCTCTTTCTCCTCCTTTTCTGTTATGTTTCCTATCCTCTTTTCTCATCTCCTCCTCCTTTCTCTTCTTCTCTGCATTACCCACCTGACTTCTCCTTTGTTCCTCACTCCCAGAACTCTCTCCTAGAAAGGACCACTTGGTGTAAGATCCAGGGTTTTAAACAAATACCCCAGAGTGACGTTACCTTCCACAACAGTTTCACTGTCCTTCTTCCATCCACCTTGGCTGGTCTCAAAACTCTCCACAGATCCAGGCCAAGTGGAGCTGTGAGGAACAAGAGTAAGATACTCAACTCAGAAGGGAGTCGCAACAGGAGATTGGGGGAATTAGCTTGACTGCCTTTTTAGAAAATGCAGTTAGGAAAGATTTGTTTGAGGGAGACAGCAGGGGTAAGATGGAGAGCAGAGGGATGGCAGCACTGCGATGATCAATAATGTCTTCATTTTGTGGCTGGAGGATTGGAATCCACCAAAGGCAAAAAAATAAAACTGCTCTTGGATCTGATGACTTTGTAAGGTGAAAAAAAATTGCAATAGACCCCACTGTAATATCATTTATCACACAAATCTGGATTGAAATGTGACATCTCATGTCTTCTAAGATATAATATCTACATACATTAAAACTAGGAATGACACAGATAACTGAAAAGAAATATATATAATTTATACCATATCTACTCCCCAAAAGGATGAAACTGCATACTTATGTTATAAAACATAGAAATGAATTAAAGAAGAAAGGAGAAGAGAAATAATTTTTACTATGGCATATTCTGGGCTCTAAACTTAATACTGATCTCCCAAGTAGGAAAAGTGAAAAAGAATCATATTGAGTTGTATATTTCTCATGGCCTGATAAAAACAAAACACAGAAATTTATGTGAAGGCAAGTATTTTGTGGCTATGGGCAATGAATTCATACATGGAATTTATATTATGGATTCCCTTAAAAAAGACACAGGGCACTAAAGACCAATGTGTGTAATCACAGTTGAGCAAAAGTACAGAAATACAGCATGTGGACATTTAAAATGCAAAGGGATAATGTCAAACCTGATTGATGCATTTCTCTAGTAAACAACATAATCTAAGACAACGTAGTTCAAGAGTGTTAGCTTCTGATGATCTAACCATACAGGGATAAAACTTACAAAAATAAGAGGAATTTATATTTCGCTCGATCTCTGGACTTTTGTCTCTTGTCTCAAGCAAGTTTGGCAAGGAGTAGATTATTGGCAATGAACAGTTGAGTGCTCAGACATGCTTCGAAAACTTCAAAATGTTGAGCTTTTCATTAAGGAATGACTCACACACTTTAGTCATGAGAAGAAAGCAGAGAGAGTTCTAAAAAACTGTCCAGAAGTCTGTTGGCCTGTAATTTGAAGAAGTAAAGAAATGTCTCTAACTGAAGCTGCAGTTGATTCACTCTGAATCTTTTCTTGACAAAAATCACATGGCTGATGAAAATGTAATTAGGTCTGCAAAGAATAGGGTCTGCACTTGGGCCAAGATTTAAACTATTTTAGTACTGAAAGACTGTTTTCAGGGATCTTTTCAACTTACGGTGATAAGTGAAATTACCGAACTCCAACTAAAGATAACTTCATAATGTAAAAAATGTGCCAATTAAGTCAATAATAACCTGTCTTGTCATCAGTGGGGAGTCCCATTTCTACAGCTACTCTTGCAGAAAACAAAGTGTGGGTAACACAGTCTAACTGTTAGGCTCTGAGTCTCCCAATAAGATCTATTGTAATTCCATGTAAGTAAATGGGAATTGTTTAGACTTTACATCTGACTTCATCTGCATTCCATTGAGATGTTGTCTTACGAACTCTGCCTGGAGTTTTCTGATTTCTTGAAAGTCTTTATTTAATCAGATGAAAGGACAGTCTGTACTCAACAGGGAAACAGGGAGTAACAGGCTGGTTTCAGCCTGTCTACAAGCCAGTGAGATGTAAGCAGAGACAGATTTCCTCCCAGAAGAACTTAGCACAAGGCTACAAAGTCACTAGACCCTCAAAATTGACTCACAAAACTGGAAGAACTCTCACTCTGTCTCTTACTTGCAGAGTCTCTGTTCCAGCTATACTGAAGTGAGACTCAGGAATAGTAACATTGATAGTAAGAAAAAAATCTGAAGGCAACATGTTCATTACAATCCAGTCCCAAATATTCATCTGAAGGATGTACAGGGACAAATATAAACTGATTATTATATAATCAATCATTCCAGTCACTTGATTAGAAATACAAGCGAAATTCTCCTTAGATTTATCCTACTGGTAGCTACTTAGTTTTAGTAGTGATGATGAATGAATTTAATCAGGTATTGTCTTTTTTCACTGAGGCCAATATTTCATACAGATGTGGTTCAAAGGGAAATAGTTTTCCCAATATAGACATCCCACAGATGCAGCTTTTAGTAAAACCACTGCTTAACTAGCATGTAAATCCTCTATAATTATTACAGCCAATTTTTCATTAACCTTGAGTTAATAATGGATTTGCAGTTTAATCAAAGGGGAAAGAATAATAATTCTGTATTTGTGAAACAAAATTAAATTGTTTCAAATCTGCCAAAAACAAGAACAAAAACAAAAACCTATGTATTCAAAGGTATCAATTATTTCGACCGATAGTAACAATATGATGCTATGTTGTTTCTATTACGACCTGGGAATCCCCACAACAGCCACCAATTAGACACCTCAGACACACTGGTGCCCTTGCTGAAGACCAATAATAGCTAGCTTATAGTAAGTGTCACTGCACTAATCATTTTACCTAAATTATCTCATTTAATCTCCACAGCCCTGTAATTAAGAATACCATTAGTATTATCTCCATTTCTGAAGTAGAGAAGTAAAGCAACGGTCCGATACCATAAGCTTTTAAGTAATAAAGTCAAGATTTGACTATAATTATATCTGTATCATGTTTAAATGTGAGTAAATAAACCTAACAATTAATATGTTGAAATCCAAAAGAAAATAGTGCTACATGTCCAACTTAGAATAGAAATTTTTAAACAATTAAAAAAGGTTTGAGGTGGTATGTATTAAACAACTGGAATTTCATTGTGAAATAGGGAAACTAATAGCTTGTGAAATAGAAAAGGGGAAATTAGGAATTCTTGGAGGTGGAGGACTACATGTTCATCAATTTCCTCTGGGATCCTGAAAAAAATGAAGAAAAACAAAAGCAAAAGTTCTCCAGGGGTGACTTTGACAAATGAGCATTGATTTTTATTTAATTAGCACAAAGAACACCAGCATCTAGTGTTTTGCTAATTAATCTTAGTCAAGCTGGCTAAAATAACAAATCAGCTGAAATAATAAGTCTTGTTTCTGGCAGCAAAACAAGTGGATGAAACTGACATTAGAGAGTGGCTGGACGGTTCTGAGCTAACTGAAGACACTGAGCCATAATGGCACCAGTAGGTCACTGGGGAGAAGAGCGACAGCCACAGGGAGAGGAGCTGTGCTAAACAAGATCACACCTGAGATAGAGCTTAACCTCCCATGTTGCCTGCTAAAAGGTACAGCAAAGGGAGAGGACAATTTGCTCAATGATACTATATGTGCTTCATTCTAATATTTTGAAAAGGAGGGCTCAGCTAAGAGATAGGCAACAATAATTAACTACTCCAATAATTTATAACCATTGGACCATTTTTTTTCCCGTGCAATTTCTGTGCTGTTTGATATTTGCAAACTATTACATTTGTATTCTTTGGACACTTTGAGATGATGTCTGTAGAATGTAAATGTGTTCCCAAATATTGTATGTAATTTTCATCAAAAATTTACATTAGATCCACAACTTAACTAGCTTTGTTTCAACCACACATGTATTTTTATTTATTTAAAATTTATATAGCCCTTACCATTTGTAAGGCACTGTTATAAGCCGTTAAACATGAAATGGCTTGGAAATTTATGGCTTTCCTGTACTGCTACAGCCTGCCACAGAAGACTTGATGCCTGATTGGCACAGAAGACTTGATGCCTGATTGGCATAGAATTTTAGGGTGAGGAGGGTCTTCAGAGGCCATCTAGCACAATTCCCCATGTGCTGCATGAAGCCTTGTTGTATAGCCACATCACCAAGGGGTAGTGCAGACTAAGCATGAACATCTCCAGTGGAGGATACAAAATTCAGAAGGCACCAGATTGTTTCTAGACATCTGACCATTTGGGCAAATGGGTCAAACATCTGTTAATGCCATCTTGGATTTGTGGGGAACTCTACCAGGATCCAGAAGAATAAATTGTTGTCATATGGACCAGGGAGCACAGAAATTGACCCCCAGATGTTATTTGAGACCAGTGTGAGACTTGGCTATAAGACTGAATAATATGGGCCTGAAATTGCAGCCAGGCATGGGGTCTGGGGAAATTCGTGGTCTAAAAACCACATGTCTTACACACAAATAAGGTTAAAACCTGAGAAGGTTAAAAGAGTCAGCATTTTTGCATTTCTTTTCCATGTCTAAAAAGAAAATGTGTATATATCACCAAGTATTCATCTAATTAGTCATTCATTCATCTATTCATTCAATGTGTTAGGCAGAAAAATGGATCCCAAAGATCTACGTCCTAATCCCTGGAACCTGTGAATATTCCCTCATATGGCCAAAAGGACTTTGCAGGTTTGATTAAATTAGAATCTTGAAATGGGGAGATTATTTTGGATTATCCAGATGGCCCCTAAATGAACCCTAAATCACAAAAGTCTTTATACTAGGGAGGCAGAAAGATTTGACAGAAAAGGTAATATGATGATGAAAGCAGAAATTAAACTGATATGTTTTGTAGATGCAGAAAGGGACCACAAACCAAGAAATATAGGCAGCCACTAGGATCTGGAAAAGGCAAGAAAAAACACATTTTCCCCTCAAGGTCTCCAAAAGGAAACAACCCTGCTGACACCTGACTTTAGCCCAGTGAAACTCGTTTTGGACTTTGGATTTCCAGAAGTCTACAAGAAAATATTTGTGTTGCTATATAGCCACTAAATTCGTGGTAATTTGTAAAAGCAGCTATAGAAAACTCATACATTCATCAAACATGTATTGTCCATCTACAGGGGGTCAGGCGCTGGGCAAGGCTCTTGATTTACAGAGAATGCCAACACATGCTGAGTGACCCTGTGCAATTTATTATCATCTCTAAAACTCAGCTCCCTCGTCTCCAAATGGGGATGATTCTACATATTTAATAGGGCTGTTAGGAGGATTTAAAATAATAGGAAATCTAGCATTTATTAAATGTTTACCATGGTTAAACATATTATTTCATAATCTTTAAATTAACACTAAAAAATACTATTCACTCAATTCTACAAGTTATATTCCATTACGAGAAAGGGAAATACATAGTGAGAAAACCGAGGCTTAAAGATTAGGTATCTTTCTCAAAGTCACTCCAGAGCCAGGCTGGGATTTAAGCCAAACCCACAGATTCAAAGTACTGTTCCTAATTACCATACTACACCTCAAACTGTTCCTAATTTCCATATGTCTATCAATGTGTGGTCTCTTTCTCTTTCCTTCCTTTGCTATTATTATGGTGAGACCTTTTTGTTTCTCATTAATTACATCTTTATTTTTTTAGTGGTAGCTCCAGAGTTTACAATATATATCTTTATCATAGGATATCTTTAAATATTATACCGCTTCACATATATAAGCATAAGATGTTTATGAGTATTAAATAGGTGATCTTTTGCCTTGAGGGCAAAAAAGCTGCTACTTTAATTAACACCATCAGAGGAGGGCCAGCTTATCCTGTGGGCTCAGGTGGGTGCAGTGAGTGCCCTGCAGAGAGGAAATGTTCAGACACTCCAGGCTCTGGGATTGTGGGATTCCATGAGTCCCAGTTACACAAAACTGAAAAAACCCATAAAAGCTACGCCAGGCCGCCCTAAACCAGAGCAGGCAAAAAAGGAATTACAAGAGACCAGCTTGCCTTCTTCCTCAGTTGTTCCCATTTTTTCTTGGCTCCAGCCACTCCAGAACCTTGAGTCCTCAGCTGCACATTGCAGAACTATGACATACTCTGTAAAAGCCTGAAGCCCTGTGAGGTTGTATGTTTCGTCTCTGTCGATATCTTTGGTGAAGTTGACTTCCATCTAGAAGACAGAGATAACTTTGAGCTGGATGGGAGATCACATGTTATCTTTCCAGTTTTTTTCTCTAACCTTCTCTTACCTTTTCAGAACTAGTAGCATTATATCTCAAATTTTAAAATATATTTGTGTCCTAAATAAAACTCCAAGCATGCCCGGGGACCATCTGTACCTAAATAGATGTGAGTCATCGCATAAATCACCACCCTCCCTACTTCCTGCCCCTAAGCTGGTGAGGCAGAGATTCCTGCCTCTGGGCTGGATGTGAATGAGCAGAGTCTTGTTTTTCTGGAAGATGCAGGGTCCTGGGACTCAGGGCAACCTGGGCTCCAGTTTAAACTTTGGCGGTGACTCCAACACCTAGAAATAAGGCCCCATGAAACAGTAGGTAACTGAGACCTTAGTGGCATTAAGGTCAACCTTATGTCATTCACAAGACTTAGAAAACTTAAGGTGCCATGAACGACCTCAGCATTTGTTATCAGCAGAACTAGAATCAGAACACAGATTTCCTCACTTTTTCCCTTCCCCAAATCTTCCATTTCAAATTATTGGTCTTTGGGTGACCAGTCAAGCTGCTAAAGATGTTGGCAGCCTAGATACATAAATTCATTTTGACACCCTCTTGGGGTAGGGGAGGAGAGGTAAATAAAGCACTTCTCTTTTCTAGACCTCAGTTTCTTCATTAGTAGAATGAACGTGCTGCTTTAAATAATCTCCAAAGTCCCTCTGGACCCAATCCTCCAAGACAAACTTAAAAACTCTTTCTGAGTATGGTCATTGTTCCTACAGTATGAACTTTTAGCTGTTGCTTTATATGAACTTATACTGAGTTGATTAATAAAAATAAACTGCACTAATAGGCATGCCCATTTTGTGAGCATGCACACGAGTCCCAGAAAACCCAGCAAGGGAAGGAAGTCCTGATATTTCCTATGTGTATCTAACTATAGGTCCTGGGCCCATAATAGGGCAAAATGAGAACATGTACAGATGGCAACGAGATGAGCATCCCAGCCCCAGATGGATACTTCTGAACTCCCAGCCTAGTGAGATGGCATTGGAGCAAGAAAGTAGGATCCAGACCTGAGGGCAGTTGCGCTGCTGTATCCCAGGTTCCCTGAGTGCCCTCCACCTACAGCCGCTGGAGATATTGCAATGGCAGAATAGGGCTGTTGGGAACATAACTTGGGACAATCCATCATCTTTGGGAAGTAGCATCCCCAAATTACCTTAGTTATGGGGCCCAGTTTGAACCAGATTAAGACCTTTAGGAGCAGGCCAACCACATGTAAATCAAAATTAAAACAATATTAACCCATAAAATACATGCAAGGAAGGTTAACAAAGTTCTATTTTACTTTTCGTGCTTTTTAAAATATACAATATTCTTTTAAAAAATCTTTTAAATTTTTCCTCCTGCTTTGCTAGTACACTGAGCAGAAGCTTGGCCTGCTTGCTGGGTCTCCTCATGTTCACACTCAGAAAGCTCTGCCTAATGCAGCAGTGCAAGCCTGTTCTTCTCAGCCCTAGCCTCGAAGGAAACAAAAGCTGTTTAGTCTTTCACACAGTGTGCCTCTAAGGCTTCTTTTACTTTGGCTTTCTGTACAGGCTAGGTGCCTTTGGCCCTCACACAGAGTCTAAGATCAACTGATCTTCCATATACAGGCTTAAATCTAAAACTTTCCCAACTCAACACAGGCAATGGACGCCAACCAAAACATTAATTAGTTTCATCAGGTTTGTTTCTAACAATTTATACTTTATGCCAAATCCTGGCTCATCCAAAGTGTTTTTGTTTTAAGAGATGAGTCAGAAGTTTTGGTGCAAAGCCTACATCAAACTCTTAAGACAGTCTTGAGATCCTTTTGTAGAGTGTTCATATGGTTCCATTTTATAAAAGTGGAATCCATTTAGACTAAGGCCGCAGGAAGATGTTTTGGAGGTTGCCAAAATATGGTCGAATGAATGACTGAACTTGGAATCAGAAAACCTGGGCTCAGGTCTGCAACTTACAAACCCTGCGATCTTGGAGAAGGGATTTAAGCTCTCTACATTGCAATTTTCTAATCTATAATTTTTTTTTTTAAAGTGGTTCCTTGCTCATAGGATATTTGCAAGGATTAAACAGTTTGGAGTATAAGAAAGTACTCTGTAATCCATATAGCATCATACACATAGCATCTTGGAATATGGACATATTGAGATTTTAGAATTAGTTTTTATATGGTTTACTTTTAGTTAAACAAATATTTATTGAGCATATGTGCCAAGCAATGGGAAAATAAATATAAAAACCAAGCTCTCTGTGTCTGAGGAATCTATAGCCTGATCTATAGACAGCTTTAAATGACTGCACTGAGTGTTAAATGCAGTGACAGAGGGGGAGTACCCAGCTCAGGCTCTCAGAAGGAAATGTATTAGACCTGAGTTCTGAGAGATGAATAGGTTTAGCAAGGTATGACCAGGAGTGGAATACAAAAGCAGATGGTATTCTAGGCAGAGGCATAGAATAGTGAAGCAACATGACACAAGGAAAACTAGCAATTCATAATTAATAGAGAAGCCGAGGCAAGATGAAAGATGAGGTTGGAGTGATCAATAGAGGTCAGGTCTTAGGGGTTTAAAGATCTGGCTCTTTATCCCTAGGTAATGAGAACCATCCATAGAAAGCTGGGTTGGTTTAGTTGGGTTTAGAACTGTGTAGACTTGTGTGTGAAAGCTGAAAGGAGAGAGATACTGGTTGCACATTGCACTTTCCTTCCCACTTCCTCCCAGGAACTGGAAGCTGGAAGGAAGGAGGCAAAGATGAGTACGGATGTAGGTGAGTTTGTCAGAGGGGAGGTACAGGATACTGGAAGTTAGGGTAGTTTACACTTGCTGCCCTCACTTAGTGTTGTATGTGGTTTAATAATTTTCCAGAGGGACATAGATCTTGGTTTATTTTTCTTGTTGAATCCTATCCCAGCAGCCACAGGACTCTGGGCCCAGACAAACAGAAGAAATCAAGGGTGTCTAGACAGAAGTTCCTCAGGTTCACTGAGACTGTGACATGTGGTATGAAGGAAGATGCTCTGCTCAGGGGTTCCCTTCTGGTTTCCAGAAACTACTAATCAGTGAGTCTTATGTTACATGTAGTCAGGTTTTAGGAGAATGGTTCCAGAGCTGGCATAGAAAGGAAGCTAACAGGAGAAGCAGACATCATTATTTCTCTTGTTCTGAACACAAGAGAAAGTTAACCAATTTTCTGAAAGAGTTCTAGACTAGGAGAGGATGCAGTAAACATAGTATCTATGGGTTTTAGTGATAGCCTCATGAAAAAAGTAGGTTAATTGTAGTACTAATTAAAGAAATCTGCGTAAAAGGCCAAAGGGAGGAGAGGTCGATGTCTCTGGATGTTCTCTCTAGTTTACTGCATGGCTCCAATGTAGTCACTTCTTTTATTAGTGATTAAAGTTTTAAAAGTGTTATCAAATCTGAAGATATTGAAAGTTAGGAAGTAGAATGTTAACTATAAGTTTTGAGTGTTAGAATAAAGATTCTAAATAGGCTGAAATGATAAGACCAACATGAAGAAATTCAATAGGAGTAATAAAACACCTGCACTTAGGTTAAAAACCAACAAGCTATAAGATAATGAAGATATGTTTTACTAGCAAATCTAATGTGGGAAAAAAGTTTTAAAAATTTAACTGATTCAAGTGGCTAGGAGCTAAGAGTCTATAAAGTAAGGTGGTTACAAAAACCAGTTGGTACAATTTCAGCCTGCATTGACGGAAATACAAGACTATCATCTGAACTTTGAGGTAAGAAAAGATTTCTTAAGATACAAAAGGCATTAAGTATAAAGGAAAAGACTGATAAAATTTGACAGTATTAAAATTAAAAAGTTATGTTCATCCAAAGTAACCATAGAGGGTGAAAAGTTAGGCCGAGTGAGAGATGTTTACAACATACATAACAAATAAAAGATGTATAAGTAGAATATATAAGGAACTCTTAGAAGCCAATTGAAAAATCAGACTAATAAAAAAAAATGTATGAAAGACTTAAATCAGCACTTCACAGAGGACTCTAAACAGCCAATAAACACAAGAAAAGGTATGCAACCTCAAAGTCAGGTATATGCAAATTAAAGTCATGATTCCATTGCATTCATAAAATGGAATACTACACAGCAATGAAAAATATAAACATCAGTATTATATAATGTGAATGAATCTTAAAAGCACAATATTGAAAGAGCCAAACAAAAAAATGTATGGATTCCATTTATATAATGTCTCAAACTATGTTGATCAAGATGCAGGCTTAAATGTTAAAATCATAATAAAAAGCAAAGAAGTAATTACCAAGAAAATCAGGATAACATTTAGCTCCAAGGAGAAGAGATTGTCATCAGGGTAGACAGGGGGCTCTGGTATTCTCTTTTTGACCCAGTTGTTTTTACATGAGTGTTCACTTAATAATTTGTTAAATGCAATATTTATGTTTTGTTCATTTTTCTAAATGTGTATTACATCACAATTTCATAAAAGGTTGGAAAATTGAAAAAGGCAATGGCCAAGCCATAGACTCTCTAGCAACCAACATAGCTAAACACAAACCAGGGTGGAATGCAAAAATAAACTTCTCACTCTTTAATATGTCTATTTGCTCAAAATGCAAGATGACTATAGTAAAACACTTTTCCAATCTAAAAGGCTCAAATGAGAAACTGGGAAGAAAAGTGCTCACTATTCTTTAACTTCTATTTTCAATGTAGAAAAGAAGAAAATGATTCCAGATCAACAAAGTTGTAAGTCTCCTCTTTGGGCCCTCTAATAGAAATATTGTAATGGTCCAACTTACCCAGCCGGTACTATTTACTGTTCTGAATCGAAGTATGTATTTTAAAATGGATGAAACAGGCGCCAACACAGGCCTTTTCCATTTTATTTGAATCATTCTTTTGATGCCCAAAACTGGTTCCACACTGCAAATGTTAGGTGGTTCGATTTTTACTGAAAATAAAAATCATACAGTCCTCATATTTGCAAAAAAGATCAGAAAGTGCTAATAACATCCAGCCAAAATTGAAAAAAAAGAGTCTAGAAAAGAAATGATAGTGCATATTTTGTCATGTGATGTATACAAATCCATAAGGAAGGTTGTGCAAAGGAATGCTGCCACTACCACCACCCCGCCCCACAAAGTGAAATGTCCAATGAGGAAAGGATACATTCCTATGAATTTTCTACAAATCTGTCTTTTACTAATTGGTTCAGATAAATGGAGCAGAATAGAGGTTAAAAAAAAAAAAAGAGAGACTACATGACCAGTATGGGTTTATTTCTGGCTTCACTGTTCTGTTCCATTTATCTATGTGCCTGCTTTTATGCCAATATGATACTATTTTGATTACTATAGCTTTATAGTATATTTTGAAGTCAAATAGTGTGGTGCCTCCGGATTTGTTATTCTTATTCAAAATTGCTTTAGCTATTTGGGAGACTTGTGGTTCCATATAAATTTTGAATTTTTTTTTTTTAATTTCAGTGGAAAATATCATTGGCATTTTGATAAGGATTGCATTTAATCTGCAGATTGCTCTGCATTGCATGGTTGTTTTAACAGTATTAATTCTTCTGATGGTGAACCCAGGATATATTTTTATTTTTCTGTGTCTTCAATTTCTTTTATCAATGTTTTACAGTTTTCAGTGGACAGATCTTTCACCTCCTTAGTTAAATTTACTAAGTATTTTATTCTTTTCGGTGGGATTGTAAATAGGACAGTTTTCTTAATTTCTTTTTTGGATAGATCTCAGTGTTTAGTAACACTTTACTAGGCCCTAGGTGTAGATGATAAAACAAAATTTCTTCAGAGATTAATTGTATAAATCTGTGTCTTACTAATTTAGACCAAAATTTCTCCTCACTCTAAGTAGCAATTATAGAATATTTATATATCTACTAAATCTAGTTGAAAGAGGGATAGAAAATTTGGGAGTTTTTCTTTTTACTTTTTATCTTGTGACTGGCTTTATTTTTAATACTTTAATTGCTAAAGTATACAAGTTCATTTTAAGGGAGTAAAGATAATGAAGGTATATAAAGAAAAAGTAAATCATCTTGTCCCTTCCAGGTCCATCGTCATGAGGTAACACCAGTTTATAGTGTGAGGTAAGCCTTCCAAAGGAAATTCTAAAAAAAGAATTTTAAGAAACCTAAGTCAAACACTTCACAAAAACGTCTCGAGCCCAGATATCTACACTGGGAAAAGTCTACCAAAGGTTTAAAGAAGAATTATCACTAATCCTTCAGAAACTCTTCTAAAAAGCAAAAGACCAAGAAACACTTTCCAACTCATTCTACAAGGCTAATAATACCCTGATATCAAAACCAGACAAAGGTATAACAAAAAAACAAACAAACAAACAAACAATAAACTAATATCCCTTATGAATATAAAAAGCAAAAGGCCTCAAAAAAACCCCTAGCAATCAAATTCATCAACATATAAAAGGGATTATACACCACAACCAGGTAAGATTTGTCCCAAGAATAAAAGATTTGTTTAACCCATGAAAGTCAGTCAATGTAATACACCAACCATTTTAATAGAATAAAGGACAAAACTACGTGGTTATCTCAATATATACAGAATAGGTATTTGACAAAAACCAACATCTAGTCATGATAAAAACATTCAATAAACTATGAATAGAAGAGAATTTCCTCAACCTTATAAGGGCATCTACAAAATTCCACACCTAACATCACACTTAATAGTGAAAGATTAAATGCTTTCCCTCTAAGATCAGGAATAAGAAAAGGATGTCTGCTCTCACCACTTCTAAAAAGGGCAACCAGGCAAGAAAGATAAATAAAAGGTGCCCAGATTGGAAAGGAAGAAGTAAAACTGTATTTTCAGATGACACAATCTTGGATATATAATTCCTAAATTATTCACACACAAAAATTAGACTCCAAAATACAAGTTCAACAAGGTTGCAAGTTCCAAGATCAATACACAAAAAATCAATTGCATTTGTACATTCTAACAATGGACAATCTGAAAATGAAATTAAGAAAGCATTTCCATTTACAGCAGCATCAAAAATAATAAAACACTTAAGAATAAATTTAAGCAAAGAAGTGCAAGATTCATACCCTGAAAACCATAAAACATTATTGAAAGGAATTTTAAAAGACCTGAATAAGTGAAGAGACATCCTATGTTTGTGGACTGGAAGATTTTATTGATAGCAATATCCCTATCAAAATTCCACCAGGTTTCTTTGCAGCAATTGACAAGTTGATCATAAAATTTGTATGGAAAAGCAAGGGACCCAATAGCCAAAACAATCTTGAAAGAAAACAAAACTAGAGGACCCATTTATCGAATTTTGAAACTTATTGTAAAGCTACAGTAATCAAGATAGTGTGATCCTGGCATAAAGATAGAAATATATATCAATGGAATAGAACTGAGAGCCATGGGGAGAAAAATCTTACATTTATGATGAGTTCATTTTGACAAGAATTCCAGGACAATTCAATTGGGAAAAGAATCATCTTTTCAACAAATGGTACTGAGACAACTGGATATTCCCATGAAAAACATTCAAGTTTGACTCCTGCCTCATACCATATACAAAAATTAATTCAAAAAGAATCAAAGAATAAACATAAGAGCCAAAACTATAAAGCTCTTAGAAGAAAATATAGCAATAAATCTGTGTGACCTCAGGCTAGACAATTTTTTTTAGATCTGACACAAAGCAAAAACAATAAAAGAAAGAATAGATAAATTGGGCTTCATCAAAATTAAATATTGTTCTTTTTCAAAGGACACCATCAAGAATTAAAAAGACAACCCACAGAAAAGGTGAAAATATTTGCAAATCATATATTTGATAAGGAACTTGTACCCAGAATATATAAAGAACTCAACACTCAATAATCAAAAAATGAAATAATTTAAAAATTGTCAATGTATCTAGATAAACATTTCTCCAAAGAAGATACACAAATGGTCTATCAGCACATGAAAAGATGTTCAATATCATTAATCACTAGGCAAATGCAAATCAGCACTACAATGAGATACCACTTCACACCCACTAGGATGGCTATAATCATACAGATAGACAGTAACTAGTACTGGAGAAGAAATGGAGAAGTTAGATCTTTATAAATTGCCGGTGGGAATGTAAAATGGTGCAACCACTTTGGTAAAGTTCGACAGTTCTTCAAAAAGTTGAAGATAAAGTTATCATATGACCCAGCAATTTCACTAGATAAATATCTGAGAATTGAAACATATGTCCACACAAAAATCTGTACACAAATATCCAAAAGAGCAGTATTTATAATAACCAAAAAGTAGAAACCACCCAAATTTCTATCAACTGATGTATGGATAAACAAAATGTGGTATATCTTTTTACGTTCAGCTATAAAAAGGAATAAAGTACTGGTAAGTGCTACAATATATGGATGAACCTTGAAAACATTATGCTACATGAAGGGAACCAGGTACAAAGGCCATTTATTGTATCATTGTATTTATATAAAATGTCAAAAACAGGCAAATCCACAAAGGCAGAAAATAGATTAGTGGTTGCCAGAGGTTGAGGGAAAGGGGAAAGGAGGGAGAAGGGATTGGGGACTGATTGTAGATGAGTATGAAGTTTCTTTTGACAGTGATGAAAATGTTCTGGAATTAGATATTGGTGACATTTGCACATAATGTAAATCTGTAAATGATAGAAAACTGACTTGTAAAAGGTAAACTTTATGGCACGTGAATTATATATCAATAAAACTGTTATTAAAAATATGGTGAAAATGAGTTTTTGAAAAGGAATTAAAAACATAAAAATTAGTGCAATATTTTTTAAAATAAGAGTTTTATTCTCTTCTACATGAGCAATGGTGTTTTGAAGAGGAAACTGCTTCTTTGAGTATAATTGATGATCAAACTACAAGAGGAAATCAGGGACTAGCAAAATGTCTTTTCTCATTCCTTTCTTTTTTCATTTTATTTTTTTATTAAGTTTATTGGGGTAACATTGGTTAATAGAATTATATAATTTTCAGGTGTACATTATAATTTGACATCTATATATTCTATTGTGTGATTACCACCCAAAGTCCAGTTTCCTTTCTTTTCATAATTTGATAAATTCCTTTCTTCTTCCCTCCTTCCCTCCTCTTTCTTCCCTCCTTTCCTTCATCAATAAGAAGACAAATTTTTATATTTATCTGTAATACCCATCTACTATATTCCTGAGCGCTGAGTCTACTTTTGAGTCCACAGATATCTCTTTAAAAAGGGGGTCTCTTTTAATAAAAGAATATATAAGCACTTAATATAATACTTACTTATGTTATCTAAGCGCCAGTGTGTTATATCAGATTCAGTTATACCATCTGAATTTTGGGCTTCCACTTGAATGGTGTAATTATCTGGGTTTGTTATACTTGGAAGAAAAAAAGAGCACGAAGCCCCTTTTTCACTTGTAGAATTACAAATATCATTTTTCTGTCCATAAGAGCTTTAAGAAAAAAATGAATCAACATGAGTTTAGTTTGGAAACACAGCCATACTTAATGTACTAAGAATGTATTTGTTAGTTTCATTCTGGGTTTCTCTTGAATACTGTACAGTCCAGAATTTGGTACCCCTTTCTCTAAATTCCTTCCTCACCCTCCATGTAGAGATAGAAGCTAACCGCTTCCTTCCTGCCTGAGATTCTAGAAACCATGGAGACCTCCTTGGAACCTTATAAATCCATTAAAAGCTACCTGTAATTCATTTCTTATTGGTAACAAATAATGAATAGGCCTCTAAAAATCCCACATTCTAGCCTTGAGAACTTATTTTTAAAAGAAAAAAAAATCAAACAGTATTTGTTAAATAATGATAGATACATAAATAGAACTTAAAATGACAGTTTTTAATATACCTATATTTATTGATATGGAAATATGCCCGTTACTCTATTGTTGATGGAAAAGAGGATACATATTATATACAGAATAAGCACATTTATATAAACATATATTTAGAGATATCTGGAAAGGTCTTCATCAAAATGCTAAAGTTATTACCATTGGTGGTGAAATTTGGGATGATTTTTTACATTCTTGTTCCTCAGATTGAATTATTTTTTTTTTACTATTGGTATATATTGTTTTCAGAAGATTCATTATTTTCCTAGATAAATGACTTAAAACCTATCACTTAATGAGAACAAGTACACATATTGGTAGGAATCACATGAGTATGTACAACTATAGTCCACACGGCTCTGGGGATTATGCAGGAGATAGACTAGGCTGAGAACAGAAAAGGAAGCCCATGCCTGGCAGGTCTGAAGCCATCAAGAAGGGCTGTACATAGGCCTGAGGAAACCCAGGGGGGTTCCTAAATCTACATGAGCAGCTGATGAGAATAATGGCCATCCATGGGGAGCCATGGAAGGGGAGTGGAAGGGATGACTCTTTAAAACAGAAAAATAGGAGTAACTCTATTGAGGTTTCCAGTTTTGCACTGTACTGATACTTTCTGTTCGACACTGGGCCTAGAACTAACAAGTATGGAAGAAGATAAGTCATGTGGACCATTAACTAAGATGTCGCCTCAGCCACTGGATGCATATGGTGGTCACCCAGAAGCTGTAATTGAGAAAAAATCCCACTCCCTGTTCTTATATGACCCACAGGCTAAGAACAGGTTTTACACTGTTAGATGTTTAGGGAAAAAATATAAAAAGAAGAATATTTGAGGCATGTGAACATTATATGACATTTAAATTTCAGTGTTTATCGATAAGGCAGCTTTCCTGCTACAACAGCAGTGCTGAGTAGTCTCACAGAGACCCATCTCCCTCTAAGCCTAAAATATTTACTGGCCCTTTCAGAAAAAGTTTGCTCACCCCTGTTTTAAATCATTGTTCTGTCGTACTCATTGATATATCAGTGCTGCAAAGATTATTATTTGCTTTTTTCCCTTTTTCTCTTTTCTCCCTTTCAACTGTAAAATATAAAGTGGACTTCCCTTATACCACCAGTTACCAATTTCAGGGAGCACAAAAAAAAGTATACATGAGATCTTATACTAAAAAAAAAAAATACAAAAAAATACAAAAAACAAAACCCTGGAACTATAGACTCTCTTTTTGAAATGGAAAAAACTTAAACATCATCTTTCAATAGTTCCCAACAGGGGCCTCCTTATTCTTAGGGGAATATGAAGGACATGGGTTTCATGAGCTTTTTCAAAATTTCAAAAAAAAAAACAAAAAAAAACACAAAACCCTGTATGTACTCACTAAAACATCTAGCTTTTGGCTAGAATTATAATTAAAATTTTTATAATTTTTATTCTAATAGAATAAAAAGGAATGTTTGAGGTAGTGAAAAACTTGGAAATAATTGTCTTGGTGGAAAACTGTTTGACAGGGGTCACATAGCAAATTCGTGGCAGACTAAGCTAAATCTGCCTCTTAGTTCTGGGTTTATACCCTATTCACTACATCTGGATGCATAAAGGATGAACAGTTTTATAGCACATTCTAGAAAGAGGAAGAATGTATTTGAATATAGTAAATAAATAGCTTTTCCTACTGTAGTTATAACCAGTGACTACTATTAGTAGGAAGAGGCCATCATGCAGCTACACCTCCCCCCTCTCCCTGTAGTTGCAGATCCTGTCAGCATGGCTTCAAGTAGCTAAGATGTCACCCCAGCCACTGGATGCATAGTCACATAGAAGCTGTAATTGAGAAACATTTTACTTCATAAGTGACTTGAGTCATAAGGGAACCAGGAGCCTCTGCCTCACCCCCTTACTCCCACTAACAGCACACAAGCTCCCATACTTACTAAGTTCTCTTAACTTTGTACCATGTAAAATTGGCTTCTTTTTCTGGATTCCATGTGCAAGTAAAATTTTTCTTATAGTAGAAGACACAAGAAATGTTCTCAGGCTTAGCTGGCAGAACTAAGAAACAAACAAACGTATACATACTCAAACACAATAACTTCAATACATAATAAATATTGCCAGCACTGAACATTTTGATGAAAACAGGCTAATCAAATGCTGGATTTGTAGGTTAGTTCCTAGGTATAACAAGTTCTCCTAATCAAGTCAATGGAAAAATCTAACTCTATCTCTTCAATTATTCCCTTTGAAGAACTAGATTTCTAGTTTTTGAAAAAATACTTTTTACATTCTTACTCAAAAGCAACATTTTAGAAGCAAAAATTATATTAAAATACCAGGCAAAGTAAAACATCAAATGATAGAACCACTCTGGATAACTGGGCAATGGATGATGTAGGGAGGAGAAAAAAATACAAAACATTGAACTATACCACACTTCAACCTTATGCATTACCAATTTTTCCCCAGAAGAATGGCATAATAGAGAAAATTTCTGAAATATCTTTTATTTTATTTTACTTCCTTTTCATTCTTCCTCTGCCTTGCACTGGCTGTATCCAAAGCTAGCCACCAAAAACCAATGTAGTAATAGATCTGCCTGGATCCAAATACACCCCCATCAAACTTCAGTGCCTTTACTTTCCTGTTCTTCTTTAATACCTCTCTATAGCTCCCTCAGAAGCTTTGATTAACATATAAAATGCTGTAAGCCAGAAAGGGAGTCAAACAACTGGTGCCAGAACCATTAGCGTCACCAGGTATCAGGAGAAGAGAAAGTGTTTCTAAAAATGATTTTCTGTTCTACCTGAGCTCTTTTATGGGGATACATTTGTCTTGCCCTTACTGGTTGGCATATGACAAGAAAGCAATATTCTTACAGAGGTCACTTGATATTGGTGTACGGGAGGAAAAAAATCCTGCTCCTTCTACCCTCCTAGGTTCTCCAACTGGGGCCTTATAAAATTAAGACAAAAAACAGATTATCAAGAGAAAAATAGTTTGTTACACTATTTCCAGTGCACATTGCACAGGAAAAACCTCAATAAAGAGTAACTGAAAGAGGTGGTTAGAACATGGGTTTATAAGCACCTTTTAAAAAATACAATAATTTGTAGAGAAGTGACTAGACAGGAAAAGGAATTTAGGCTTTCAAAGGTGGCAAACTGTGGGAAGGTAAATATATGTGGGAAACTAAGAGAGTAAGGTTTGTGTGTGCGGGTCCATCTTGGCACCAACTTTCTGCCTTCTTCATGGCTATAAAACTTTCTCAGGAGAGGAGATTTATGGCAGTCCTCATTTTCAGAAGTATCAGCTTTTAGTCAGATAAAGGAAGCTCCAGGAAGACTTCATTTCTGCATTATTGATTCTCATTTGCCTCCAGATCAAAATAATACTTTTGTCACAGTGGCATACTCTGATGCCCTACCCTGGTATTACAAAAGAGATCTGTGATAAATAAAATGAATGCTCAGAAATTTGGATATTAAAAAATGGACAACTAAAGGCTAGATTTACCACTTGCACACATCTATCCTTCCCTCACATCTTAAAAAAAAAAAACCCATAACTATCTTCCTACATTTCTAGAAATAACTATTTCCCCTATTTCTGGAAATAAGGGGAAATAGTCACTAACTTTTCTCTAAGAAAGACTGAGAGAATATTCTAGCTTATCAGAGAATTTCACACTTGGAAGAGGAATATTTTTTCAAAATGAAAAAGATGTTCTCAATCGTCCCTCTATGCTTGTATCACTTTAGTGCTGCTGCAAAGTTAGCGTCTTGAAAAATGTCTTGAAATACAAGAAGGACAGGCTGAGCAGAGGCCACAGGAAGGATATTTTAGAAGAGAAGCTGGGTGAAACCGGAGCCAGTTACATAGAAGATGGTATAAGTAAAAGGTGATAAGAAAAGAAAATAGGGATAGAAGATAGAAAAAGACAAGTTGAGGGAAAGGGTGCATTGATAGGAGCCATGATGTTCATAATTAGAACTTTAAATTGGATAACTGAGGGTAACTGCTGATTTCTGAGCTGGCCAGGAGAGGCTAAGTGAGTCGGGGAGACACAAGCCCACCTGCCTGTACTATCTATACAGTTTCTGAGTGCCCCGAGTATAACCCCAGAGGGATACAAGGCAGGTCATACCAGGACAGAGGTCTGGCGAGCATTCTCATTATCTGTGGGTCACAACTGCCCTCTTGTTCGCCCCTGATTACTACATGTTATGGACTGAATTGTGTACCCCAAGTCCATACATTGAAGCCCTAAGCCCCGGTACTTCAGAAAGCAACCGTCTTTGGAAATAGGGCCTTTAAGGTGGTGTTAGTTAAAACGAAGCTGTTAGGGTAGGCACTAATCCGATCTAATTGGCGTCCTTAAAAGAAGAATAGGACACACAAAGGGATGACCATATGAAGAGGCAGCAAAAAGGAAGCCATCTCTGATCTAAGGAGAGAGACGTCAGAGGAAATCAATCCTGCAGTCACCTTGTTCTCGGACTTCTAGCCTCCAGAACTATGAGAAAATAAATTTCTATTGTTTAAGCCACCAAGTCTGTGGTATTTTGTTACGGTAGCCTGAGCAAACTAATACGCATAGCAAAGTTTGATTGGTTTGTTTTATCTGAGATAATTACCTTTTTTTTTTTTTTTTTTTTAACATAAGATGTGTTCGAACTAATGAATCTTAGAGCTGCAAGGTACTGTATGGATTTCGGGCCCATAGTCTTGAGTTAAACCACTACAGAAATATGTTGTTTAATCATTTCCCTTTACATCCTTGAAATTTATGACAAATGTGTGAAAAATTATATATTTTTGTTTTTATGTGTGTGTTTTACATGAAACCATCACATGGCACAAAAACTACTGAAATAAGCACTTACCATTACTCTAAGACAGTGGATCTTGACCTTTTGGGTGGTCAAATCTCCTTTTGATAATATGATAAGCCATCTCGCCAAATCTGCACATGCGTAAATATACATCAACATGCACACACCACCCACACAAATTCAGGAAGTTCTTAAATCCCCTGCAGCCCATCTACACGTGCCCGTGGTCCAGGTGCTCCTTTGCTCTCAAGTTAACAGTTCTTGTCCAAAGAAGGCGATTACAACCACATAATGCATAAAATGGCACAAGCCAACCTACCTGCCAGGCTGAATCTGCAAAGTAGAGGAAGCATCCACAGTGCCCAGGCCCACATCATCCTCAAGTTCATGCAGACAGGCTGGAGAGAAAGCTGAAAATGTCATCAGTCAAGAATTAGTTTCCTGTCTCTTTTCAACAACTCGATTTCCAGTGACAGATTCTAGGGATTTTGAGTAAGTATTTTTATTTTTATTTTAATTCTTTAATCTTATTTTATTTTATATTTTGGCTCTCATCACATAGATCCCTTTATAATTACTCCACTAAATCCAGTCGAAATTTTATTTTGTCCACAATTCATTCCATTATATAAAATGGAAAGTATACCAGCCACCAAGAATATACTCCAGAAAAAAAGTACTGTGAGTTGTGTGGATCTGAGACCATCCTCTGGCTCTGCCTCGGTTCCAAAGCACTTAGCCAAATGCAACAACTCATAATTTCCCAAATGCATCATGGTATTTCACATCTCCATGCTTTGTTTATGTGATTCCTTCTGCCTAGAATGTCCTTTCTGCCTCATTCGTGGCAAATTAATCCATCTTTCCAGAGTAATCTTGAGGATATCCATCTCTAAATACCCTCCCTGAACTCCCAGATGGAGTTGGCCAGCTGGTCCCTCCCTGTGTCCCACCTCCCTCCCTGCCATCTGTACTGTGTCACACAGAATGGCTTTTCCAGTGTACCTGTTGGATTCTCTTCACAGAGGGAGCTTCTGAATAGTAGAGCTTCTCTTACTCCTCTTTGAAGCCTTAGTGTTTAGGGTAGCGCCTGATACGTGGTAGACATTCAATATTGTTTGTGAAATTAATTAGAACAAAAAGACTGCTGGCTCCTCTTCTCATCCCAGATGAGATGGTGGGATAATCTAAGAATAAAGCAAACATAAAACCAACACCTCATTTCAGGAAGAAATAAATGATGCTACATGTTCATCTGAAAGATAGTTATAGGAAAAAAAAAAAAAAAGAAGAGTGCTCAATAAAATTAATCATTTGAGAAATATGCGTATGCAGTATTTCTGAAGAAGACCACAAGGATAAAATCTCATGTACAAACCAAGTGACATACCTAACTAATTGAAAATGCCTAAAGCAATAAAGCAGAATGAAGACTTGGATTTATAATAATAATATCATCATGAAACAGTAAGAGATGGGTTACATAACAGGAACGGTGAACGCCTGTTATCCAGTAGCAGTCGTTATTCTTTCAAGAAAAAAAACAGTTTGATGTAAATGAGTACAAAATTTAAAGGAAAACATGTTAATTTTTCAATGTAGAATAAATGTGTTCTTTAAAAATTAACTGAAACACTAATAGAACTTTTAATAGTCTAATTATTCAGAACTTTGTCTTAATTTTCTCTGTCTCTTAGCCAAAAGACAGGCTTTTACAAGTTCTGAAAGCATTCTGGAGAGGGAGGGAGGCCTAACCATGGAGACTATAAAAGCTATAATGCTGACAGTCTTAATGGAATAAATGAATAATTTAGGTGCTAAAGCTAAAACTGTTATTCTGATACAAGGTCTTGCATTTTTAAAATCTTATCAACAGTAAATGTTGAATAAAATTAATATATAAAATATTTTTAAGTAATGGTAATTATTGCTTGACTCCTTTGCAATGATCATTATTTGTGAAATTAAAAACAAAAACAAATCAACAGTACTAAATTATACCCAGAGACAAAGCTTAAAAAGTTGCAGTAAATGAAGAGTGTGGCATTCTAGAAGCTGGCACTGCCTGAGTGTTAGCCCTGGCACTCTCACAAATTAGCTGGTGACCTTAGGCATTCTTATTCATTTAGCACTGTTCCATCCAGACATTAAGTACTTGGAATAAAAGAAGAGCCTGTCCCTGACTTCATTCTAGTTCAGTGGTTTTAACATGGAAATGAGGGTCAGAGGGTAAAGAGAATAGCAAATTCCAGAGTGAGCTACTGTTGCTGATGGTTCTGTGTCATATTCCTCAAATGGGTTTGAGAAGAAAAAAGGGTTGAGAACCATTATCTACTTGCTGAGATAGAAGCATGAATAGTAACTGCAAATATCACATGGTAAGTGCTGTAATTATAACAGCACAAGAAGAGCACTGAGTATCTAAGATGAGGAATGGGTTACTGACTAAGGAACGCCAACAAGTGTTGCTAGTATGATGATGCCCCTCGTTCTAAGCTCACTTGTCCTCCAGTGCCTTTTCCACTTACCCTCACACACCAGAGAACCAACACCAAGTGATTGCTTGTTCGTAGTAAATGCTAAGAAACAAATGTGAGGTGCTTCCTAGGAACTTAGAAGTAAGTTCAACTGAGAGTTTATCTAGCAAAATCTGTGCACAAAAGCAATTCTAGTTATCTGTGGGGATAAATCAAGAATATTTGGGTAAATATGGAACCGAAGAGCTTGAGTTCACTCTGAACTCCAGCCAAGGAAATCTGGGTATAATCTCAGACAGTTGGATCTGGAAAGTCATCATTGTCATTCAGTTGTAGGAACCTATTCAACTAATTGTATCCTAAATGGGAGACTTTGAGAATAGAAAGGAGGGGTCATCTCAGAATGTAAAATATTGATGGTTAAGAAAGATAGAAATTGGCAGTATTTATTAAGTACTATCTATGGGAGGAAATGGTGAAATTTTGGAGCGATATACTCTAAAACAGGGCAACCATCAGATATCATCACCACAGCTTTGATGAAAGATCTCGAAACCAAAAATCTGCTTGCTCTGCTTCTATAAAGCTTTCTCTGATTACTAAGATTTAGCAGAAGGGGAGGCTGTTCTGAATTCATCAAAAAAACTATCTTCCCTTTGTTTAAACACATTAGTCTCTCGAAGTCTTTTCTTTTTATTTATTTTTCAGGTGAAGCAACCCTTGGTTGACCTCACAGATTGCAAGGACCTTGTTGGCTTACAATCTCTTTTTTATTTTTTATGCCTACAGCATCTGATCTTCCTAGGTGGTCTCCCATCTTCGTACTAACCAGGCCCGACCTTGCTTAGCTTCTGAGATCAGATGGGATTGGGCTTGTTCGGGGTGGCATGGCCAAACAGTCTTGAGTCTTAAATGAGGTGAATCGGCCTTCCCAAATCTGAGTAGTTCTAGGTACAAGACGACGCTGGGTCATAAGAAAGTCACAAAGATTATGCTGCGCTCTTGAGGAAAATCACCAAATCTTTGCTTGCATTCTCTAAGTTATCAGCCCTAACTTTTAAAATTGCAGGAGCTTTGAATAACTGGTCTTCGGTAAGAGGTCACTTCCTAGAACTATACAGTTTCTCATTAGTGGGACCGCATTTGTATACAGCATTTAATGAAGCCTTAGAATTCTCAGACAACACTATGAACTTTCCATGCTGGGCAAAAAGACTCTTACAATATACAGTGATGCCAGTTAAGTAACTTGTGGTATATTATCTTTAAAGGTATGAACCTAGTAGTAGCAGCTACTGTTAGGAATACAATGACTAGAAACAAATTTAAAAAGTTATTGCTGGCTATCAGCAGTGGCTAGGGACAAGGAAAGAGGGAAAAAAACAAAGGAGATACTGTCTCTGCCAGTTGATGCTAAAAATTTTAACATGTTAAATAATCCCCGCTTCCTTACACACACAAATACATATACATAACACACACACACACACACACACACACACACACACACACACACACACACACACACACTCCCCTTTACCCCCGTCCCCAAGCTGTCCTTTGGTGATTCAAAAGTTCCCATTCAAAGCCGAATCCTGGATACTAAGTTTCATCTGATTTCACTTGTATAAAAATGTACCATTATGTGGTTTTCCTAGGGCTCCCCTACTTTCTTTCATTCATTCATTCATTCATTCAAACATTCACTCAATTAATGTATATTGATACCCATTCTGTGCCAGGAACTGTGCATGGTATGAGATTGGATTTTTAAAGAATGGGCAAAGAAGGAGGAGTAAATTCTAGGGACAGCGATCTGTTCCTAAGTTTAAGAACCTGTAAACTCTAATGCTGAAAATGAGGAAGCAAGCAGCAAGTTGCCCAGCTACATTCCGTCCTTCTAAATTCCTTACAGACCAGCAGGATTTGGTTTATAGTTTTACTCCTTCTGATCAAGTTGAAGTGTCCACTGTTCTCATATAGATTTGGAGCCTGCAGTAATAATAATAATAGTAATAATAGCTTTATATTTATAAAGCACTTTCACACATAGTAACTCATTTGATCCTTGCACCTTTGAAATAAATGAAGCAGATATTTGTAGGTTGACTCATGAAATTGCTATTTTCATAGAACAAAAACAGTCAAATATTGGCAATTTCAGCCTAAAAAATTAATAATATCTTTTTAGATGAGCACATTTATGACATACCTTATTCAAGATGAGATCAAGAACTATCAGCATGGTGACTATATTGTATAGCTGAAAATTGCTAAGAGGACAGATCTAAAAACTCTCAGCACAAGAAAAAATTTTTTGTAAGTATGTATGGTGACAAATGCCAACTAGACTTAGTGTGGTGAAAATTTTGAAAAAATACAAATATTGAATTATGTTGTACACCTGAAACTAATACAATGTTATACATCAATTATATCTCAGTTTTTTTTTAAAAAAAAGAGCTGTCAGATAACTACATTCAGTTTTGAAGTCTAAAACCCATTTGAGGTGCAGGCTGCCTTCATACAAAGAACATTTTGAGATGGCCACAGCAAGATTGGCAAAAACACAATCATGATGTGACAGAGTGTCTACAAGTGCTAGATTTGTCTACAATTGCACAAATTATATCTTGTCCTTCTAAAAATCCCTGTAGAGTTGGTATTATTATCTGCACTTTAAAGATATGGAAGTTGAGGCTCAGCGATATTATGAAACCAGTCCAAAAATCAAATAGTTTATAAGTGGCATAGGTGAGATTCAAACCCATGACTGTCATTCCAAAGCCTAGACTCTCTCCACCAAAATTAAGCAGTGGCTATTAGTGACTTACTCTCCCTCAGTCCTCTTGCCCCAAACACCAATACACACAAGGATTATCCTCTGAATCTCCTAGGTCTATTTTTTCTCTCGCCTAGAAATTCCAGAA